AAATCATAGATTATGAATAGCAACAAAGGCAGACCGTACTTAGGAGACCTATACTTATACAGACAAGACCCATGCAACATGCATAAAAGAGACAGAGCATTAGGTTGGAAACATTTGGAGAAAGGAAGGCTCTGGCACTTGAGATGGGCCTTGAAATAATGGTAGGTAAGTAAATTGTGCAGGAATGGGAGGAGTGATGACATTTCAGAAATGGGAAATGTTGTCAACAAAGGTTAATAGTTGGAATATACATAGGGATATAAGATCCTGGCTCTCACACTGGCAGGGACCTCAGAATCTAGAGAGTCCATGTTTATGGGGTAACAAGAAGAATAATTAGGAGCAGAAATTGTATATGGGAACACGGGGAAATGGTGTTGAGACCCACAAGAATCCTGATAACAGTGGAATGAGGATTGGGTGCAGTTGGCATTGTACTAGTGTAAAATAATAGCCATAGGCAAGGAAGTTGCATGAGATAAACCATCACTGCGCTCCCATTTTAGAGTGTTATACCCTGGAACTTTGAAACTTTTGTTCTCAAATTTATCCCTGCCTCCTGTCTCACTTGATGGATTTGGTATTCTGATGGCTGAATTTTGTGGAAGGAACATGGAATTAAGAGTCAAAAGAGTTAGGTTCAAAATCCTTTTACTTTTCTGGGCCTCAGTTTCCTCATCTTTGAAATGAGGGGGTTGGACTGAATGACCTCCAAAGTTGCTTAGAGCTCTAAAGTCCTGTGAATTCTGGCTTTACCTAGCATGGCCTCTGATTGTGCTTTTTGATAATTGCTTGAGGGTTGTTTGCTTTTTTTAATCTTTGGAACCTAGTGACTGCTCTTATCATGAACAACAGCTTTTCCTAATTCTGTCCTTCCCTCCCTTAAACCACAACCAAACAGGAGCCAGAGATTTGACAGGAGAGGTTGGAGAAATAGGCGGAGGCCTTTTTATGGAAGGCCTTTGATGGATAGTTCAGGAATTAAATCTAGAATTAAATCAGGAATTTACTCTAGCAGTGATGTGGATCTTCTGCAAATGCTTGAACTGAATGGTGACAGATGGCAAGTGGTATTTTAGGAAGAATAGTCTAGTAGCACTGTGTATGATGGTTTGGAAGAAAGGTATATGCCGGATTTTTTAGGTGGGAGCTAGCTCTTTCTGATAAGGCACACTAAAGCAATTGCAATCTTTTTTTGAGTCCCAAAGAGCCAATTCCCCTTGGCTTCCAAGACCCACTCAGTCACGATGATCTGGGTAGCTGGGTCTGAGAAAATCCCTGAAGGGCAGGTGTAGAGCCCTTAAATGCTTCCTGGAGAGGCCTACATCCCAGATTATCCACCTGGGGTCAGCTCTTTACTGATTTGTGTCAGCTGCTGGATGTAGCTGCAACCTTACTTGTCCACGGGCTAAGTTTAGCCTCCATAGAGGTAGTTAGTGTGTGCAGTGAATAGAGCGCTGGCCCTGAAGTCAGGAAAACCTGAGTTCAGATATGACCTCACCCTTATTAGCTGCGTGATTCTGGGCAAGCGACCTAACATCTGTCTGCCTCAGTTTCCTCAAGTGAAAAATGAGCATCATGGTTGTTGTAAAGATCAAGTGAGACAATATTTCTAAAGTTTTTTTCCAACCTTGAAGTGAGCATAAATGGTAGCTATTATCATTATTTATTTTCACATAAGTCAAGTTTTCATCATTGTTCTTTTCATTAATATTGTTAAAGTCATTATTTATAATGCTTCTCTTGCTCTGCTTGCTTCACTTTGTATAAGTTCCTGTCTCTTCCCATGCTCCCCCATATTCTTCATATTCACCATTTCTTCAGGCTCAATTAATATTTCTTTACATTCATGTAATACAATTTGTTTTGGCATTCTTCAATTGTTTGGCATCTACTTTCTTTTTCCAATTTAAAGCAAATTTTGCATCCTTTTCTCTCCAAGGAAATAAGTTAAAATTCAGATCTCATTAGGAATTTAAGGAATTTTCAATTATCTTTCACAAGTTTCAAAGTGTTCTCTGATATTGATAAGCCCCTAATCCTCACTGTAAACACTATGATTAGATAGATATGCTTTCTTCTTAAAATGCTAAAGCCTAATTTTTCAGAGTTTGCATCCTGGCACTTAAATAAAATTCCTTAGGAACAAGATTTCAAGGCAATGTAAATTGGTTATTCATTTTCAAAGTAAAGTATGCTTTAAGGTGTTCTCCAGCTGATGGAATTAGGGTAAAATCTAAGGACAAATTTATAAAGTAAGGTTTCTGGTCCACACTGTATTATGGGATGAAAAGTTTTAAGATGAAAGGAATGTTATAGACCATGTAGTACAGCCCCCTCATTTTACTGATGAGGAAACTGAGGACCAGAGAAGTTACATAACTTACTCAGTGCTATACACTGAGGGCTTGAATCCAACATCTCTGTCTTTTGAGACAATGTTCTTTCTTCTAAGGTGTAATTAGCCTGAGTCCCTTCCTTGCTGGAAACTCACCTTGGGTAGAAAGTCTCTGGGTAGAGTTCTCATGTTGCCATTACTACTGATGCCAGCTTGCAAAAAGGTAACTTGGTTGAACCCTACTTTTCTGGTTTTCAATCTAGGAAAGTAAGGCCATCCACATGCATAGGATGGGACAGAAGAGTGGAGGAGAGGCATTGTATTTAAAAAAAAAAAACTTCTTTTAAGCTAACCAATTGAACTAAACAGCTAGTCTTATTACATCTCCTCATATCTTTTTTGCTACTTTTCATCCCGTTTCAATGTGAGATTGCAGCATGACACACTGGTAAGAGTGCTGGATTTGGAATCAAGATACCATGGTTTAAAGCCTGATTCTTCAGCTTACTAATGTGTGTCCTTGAGCAAGTCACCTAGTTCTTGATTTATTTATCTGTAAATTGAGGGGTTGAACTAGAGGACCTATAGATTCTCTTCTAGGTCTAGATACTTTGATCAGGTGTTCAGAAGAAGATCATTCTGGAGGGCAGGGTCCTGGAAGAATCTTTTCTTCTTATTTTTTTGGCATCAAATGGAAACCAGGAGATAGTTTTGTCCCCTTTAATATTTACACATTTTGAAAAATCTTCAGCAATTATTTTTCTAATTTCATAATTAACTAAGTTAATTCAAGACTCTGGGATATCATCCAGGTTGTAATTCTTCTACTAATATAGATTGTAGCCTTCCCATGCCTACCAGAAGATAATCTGAATGAGCTTTTATGGCTGCAAAACTACTCACTATACTTCTCATAATGAGCCTTTGCACAATTAGCTAGGCTAGGGTGTGGCTGGCAGAAACACATCTGTCACTGAACTGGTACTAGGAATTCAGTATGACCTGTCAGAGCTAGGGTTCCACTGTCCTAGGGATAGAGATTAAACCTGATAGTAAAACTGATTAGTAAATGGAGCTCCCAGGTAAGGAAACTTGGTCAGTGATGGTTGTTGGCACCTTTCTGGTTTAGAGTCTGAGAGGGTTTCCCAAAGCACTGAGGTTAAGTGAATTACCTGGGGTCACACAACCTTGTATATGTCAGAGGTCAAACTTGAACCCAGGTCTTCTTGGTTCTAAGGCATGGTGCCTCTTTCACTGACATAGCCTTTAATGATCCAGGTTCATCTCCACATCTCCACAGTGAGGCATCAGAGTGGGACTTTAATGCAAAGTTGACAAGAAGAAGAAATTTCTCATTTTGTTGGAAACTCCTTACAGCAGACCTGCAAAACTTGGCAGTAGGTAAGGACCAAAATTAAAATAGGCTAAGCTTCTTTGGGCCACAGCTAGTTTTTTGGTAGCTCACTTTCCAAGTAAAGGTAACTGGAGACAAGAGTGCCTATAGTTGGTTGCGACGGGTCATGCAACAAACAAGAGAGTATACAGTGGCAACCCACCCGCCAAGTTACATGACAGGCACAATAGTGACTAGTGGAAGGCAGGTTAAATGGGGAATGAACAAACCACTTGTTACATCTTTATTTTCTTTTACATCCTCTACATTTTTCACGGGCTGCCCAAAATCCTTTGGCGGTCACAAGGAGCTCACAGGCCATATGTTGTACAGGCCTGCCTTACAGGTACATCTCAACATTTACGTAACAATAGGAGATAAGACTTGATTGTAAAGGGTGGGCCTAATAAAAAGATGCACATAGACCAGAGGTATTACACACCTGTTGGTTATGCATGTGGGCTGCAATACTCCTGAGTGTGGCCTGAACCAGATTAAAATGTAATTTGTAAATATTTAGCAAAATGCCCCTTTGTATCAATTATTATAAATAGTCGTTGATATCCTCTGAATCCACCTGTATTTTTTGTGAACATTATAACATGTGTCCTCTTTCAGATGATGCTGAATGCACAAATATTTCCTGTCCCTTTTGGAAACCTCTCTCATCTATTCAACAAGCATGTATTAAACACTTACTATGTGCAGGGCTGCTGTGCTAGATACTGAAGATACAAAGATAAAAACAAAACAATGCCTTCCCTCAAGGGGCTTACATTTCACTGAATTTACTTACATCAGACATATTTCAGTAGTCATTAATGAAATAGATATTTTCCCATTCATTTCCAACATTGCAAGTCAATTTGACCATGGTGTTCATTTAACAAGTAAAAGAAGGCACCAGGAGCATTGGTACTGCAGAGGAAGCAATGATTGTTCTAGAGACAACAGTTGGGACAACAGAATCACAGAGTGGCTGGCATGTGATTTGTAGAACCAAAAATAGAACCAAGTGATGTTAACAAAACTCTTTTCAGTTGTGTCTGTTAATTGCTTATTTTAATGCTTTTTTATAAGTCATGAAAATGAAAGCATATCAGAAGCAGATTGTTTCCTCCCTCCCTCCCTCCCTTCCCCCTTCTTAAATTGATGGGGAAAGATGAGAGGAAGGAAAAATGCTTGATAATTGAAAAAAATGAAATAATAAAATTTAAATTTACAAAGATTAAAAAAGTTAACAAAACAATTGTAAAAATATTATCCCAATAGTATACAAAATTTACATGTCTTTGTCAACTTCATCCTCTGCCTCTATTACTCATACTCCAATAGGTTATTAAGGGAAATTGTAAAATTGAGTGGAAGAAAAATAATTCATTCCAGAATAAATGGGGGGAGGGGTTAGGGTTGGAGAGGAATGAAGTGACTGCACAAACATGCTCCCAGAGTATTGTTTTGTTCTAGCGTTATGTAAATATTCTAAATTCAAAACAGAAAGTTTATGTAAAAGATGCCAAGTCAATCTCTCTGTGTGTTCCATTCCTTGTTACTTGGGAAATGATGTCCTTTCTGCTTAATGATGCTGAAAATCGCTCCAAGAACATAAAGCCAAATATGCAGCAGACCTTCAATAGCTACGGTGTGATTTGCAAACCATTAGTTATCCTTATCATATAGTGTGGACTTTGTTTAAAAAGGGCTGGTAGCGCCAAATGTGTCTGCTTACAGTGGGTTCTTCAAAAAGTGTAACACATGAAGAAAGTTCTCATTTGTGGCTGAATTCAGAAGTGAATTTCTAACAAGCTACAATTAGTGTGATTATTGAAGTCAATTGTGCATAGTTTATAAATTTCGAAGTGAGCCTTTGAGGAATGATGAAACATCAGGGAAGGGAAAAAACCAATACAGTGACATTCCAAATGGATTTCTTTTTTTTTCTTCTGTCCACCATAGCTTTGAAGAACAACAGTTTGCTAACCTAAAAAGAAAAACAAAAAAAAATTCAACCAGGAAAACATAAAGCCTTGATATATTAAGTTCAATTCTTTAGACTACTTTGGGCTAAATTGGGAAGAGATTATGGGGAAAGAATTTGAGAGGACAAGGAGTGGAAAAGAAGGAAGAGGAGGAGGAGAAATAAGATGAGGAGGAAAGAGATACAAAAAGAAAGAGGAGGAAAATTATAATGAAGAGGAGGACTTATAAAATGGTTGCAATGAAGTATTTCAGAATTTGAATTGTTTGAGGAGGGGAAATTTGGGAGTGCTTGAGAATTTGAAGGAAGAGTAGATGAAGATTTTTATTTTAAAGGAGAAGGATTTGAGCTAGAGGAGGATGATAAAGAATCAAAAAGAATAAAATGATGACATGACAGATCAGAAGGAATCGAGGAAAGAGAGGTAGGGCAGGAAGAGAAAAGCAATGGGATTCAAGAAGAAAGAAGTTTATAAAACAATGGAAATAAGTCAGAGTGATACAAATTGGTAGTGATGAATAAACAGTTAAGACAAGTCAAAGTAGTCTAGGTATGACTTTCAAGGTGCTAACAAAATGAGGAGGTGCAAATGTGGTGAGAAGTCACTGACAAGAGAAGAAAAATGACTATTTGGGAATTGAAATCCCCACCAACTCCCAGCCCTTAAAGAATTTTGCCCAAGAGGGAAGCTAATAGCAAAACCGACAAAGGTTGTGGATTTTACTACTACCAAATATGGAGAATGAGGCAGATTTTGCAGGGAACTACATAAGTGTACAGCATTTGTATTTCTGCCAAGCCAAATGATGGTTATTTTTATTGAAGGTGAAGGCCGGTCTCCGTCCTTAATGAGAAGGCAAAAGGCCTCAGAAATTTCCTTTCCATTCCCCAGTTTATAAGGAAGAATGAAATGTTTCTTTTTGATAAAACAAAACAAAAACTTTTATTGATATCTTTTGTTTGCACATCATCCTCATTTCCAAATTCATCCATCATCCATCCCCCAATCAGTGAGCCATCATTTGTAACAATGAATAAGAAAGAAGGGAAGGAGATGGAAAGACCTGTGTTCAAATCCCATCTCAGATACTTACTAGGTATGTGAGCCCAAGAAAGTTACTTAATTGCTATTTGTCTCAGTTTCCTCATTGTAAAACGGGAATAATAATAGCACCTACCTCCCAAGGTTATTATAAGGATAAAATGAGACAAAATTTTTAAATTGCTTTGAAAACTTTAGTACCATATTAATGCTAAGCTATTATTATCCTCAGAGGTCGACTTTGGCCAATATAATTACACAGAATTTGATTTATTGTTTTCATTGTTGCAGTTCTTGCTCTAGTCGCTATATATACTATTTTCCAATCTGTTTACTTCACTTTGTATTAGTTTGTGTACGTCTTCCCACATTACTCTGTATTCATATCTATTATTTCTTACAATGAAGTAAAATCTATTGTGTTCAGGTACTGCAAATAATTTAGCAATTCCCTCGTTGATGGATACTCACTTTGTTTCTACTTGTTTGCTACCACAAAAGTGCCACTATAAATAGTTTGCTGTATGTGAAACCTTTCTATCTTTGACGTCTTTGGAATATATGCCTAGAAATGGGGCTTCTGAACATTTTAGTCACTTTCTTAGCATCATTCCAAATTGGTATCTGGAACGGTTGGACCAAATCACTGCTCTACCCACAGTGCTTCTGTGTGCCAGTCAACACTGTCTATTCTTTCATTTTTGTTCCTTTGCTGAGTCTAACTTGAAACCACCAAGTTGTTTGAATTTCCAATTTGCTTATCATGAGTGATTTGGACCAATCTTTCATAATGTCACTGGCAATTTGTCATTCTTCCTTTGAGAACTGTTTGCTCCTGTCCTTTGGCCACAAAAGAAATGTTTCTTTAAAAACAAAAACAAAACAAAATACCCAAATAAACAAAATAGAAGAAGGGCTTCAAAGAACAAGAAGGACCTGAAAAGGGAAAAGGGAGTAATGACCCCTCTCAATAGGTGATGGGTGAAATAGAATGCAGAGGAAGAAAGGACACTGACCACTTGGAACTAAATAACAAACATTTGGCTTGAGGAGGAAGTTGGAGCCTCTGAAAGTCCATGCATCTGCTTGTCCTCCAAGGAATGGAATGTGGATCAGTCAGGCAACAAAGTCAGGCAATAAACAGTGTCAGGCTCTGTGCTAAGTGCTATCAACAGGTATTATCCGAACAAGAGACCAGTCATTCAGTCAATAAACATTTATTAAGTGTTTTCTATGTGTTAAACACCATATTAAGTGGAGGGGAGGGCAGTACAAAAAAGGGCAAAAACATGATTCTTGACCTGAAGGAACTCACACTCTAGTGGAGAGAGACAACATGCAAATAACTACTATATGTAACACATAGGGTATCTCTCTCTCTCCTTTTGTCCCTCCTCCCCTTTATATATTCATCTATCTTTAGGGTAAGTGAAAAACAATCCTATGTGAAAGGCACTAGCAGTGCGAGGAGGCACAGGCATGGTGAGAAAGCTTTTGCTGGTAAAATTGGAGCTGAGTCTTGAAGGAAGACAAGGCATCTAAGTGATGGAGGTGAGGAAAAGCTTATAAAAAAGCATTACAGAAAGTTAATGAAAATGCATAGAGTTGAGATTGCTTATAAGGAACAGTAAGAGGACTGATATGGATCATTGAGTTATGTGGAGTGCAGTAAATTGTAACGAAGCTGGAAAGGTAGAACAGGGTGAGGTTGTGAAGGCTTTAAATTTCAAAGAGGATTTTATATTTAACCCTGAATATAACAAGGAACTACTGGAGTATATAGATTAAGTGCATGACATGTTTAGACCTTTGCTGTAGAAAAATTACTTTGACAGCTGAGTGGAGGTTGGATTGGAGTGGGGACAGACATAAGACAAGGTGTAGATGCCAAACCAGGTCTTTCGACCTAATATGGGCCATACTAATTCTACCCCTTGCTATATTTTCTCTGGTTCTGTTATAGGTAGAGTCCACCTTCATGATATCAATAAGAAACTGCTTCAGGCCATGGGACATGTATCCTATTGTAGTAATTTGTGAATACTTTGTATCTTCCAGGCTGCCCCATTATTCAAGAAAAAGGGTACTTTAACGGTTTCTATTTTCTGTTTCTATTTTTCTAGGTTCATCTTTTCTCCAGCTGTTCTTTCCTATAGTCTGTTTTCTCCTATTTCGATGCCTCTGTAAGAAATTGTCGAGATGGTGTTATTGCAAAGATTATGATTCCTTTTCCCCCCACATTTGTCCATCCATCTGGAAATACTGTAACACACAATGCTTCATTGATTCTCCCTTGTGCAGCTTCCATTAGCTGCTCAATATTCTGAATTTAAATAGAGGCTTACTCAGACTGTTTGCTGGGGGGAAAAAAAGAAGTTAAGATAGTTTCTAGTAATTTGAAACTTTCAACCAGGGTCAGTAATCCCTTTTAGACAGTGGTGTTCCAGAAGTCTTGAGATTGTTGGTTATTTTCCCTCCCCCACCCCCATCCCAATGTTCGGTTATTTATTCGTCTTCTTTTTTTATTTTTGAGACAAATGGAAAGAGCAACACCCATGAAGTGAGTTTTTTTTTCAAAATGTTTCTTAGACACCGCTCATGCAACAGGACGTAGTTGATCGAACTAGACACTTCTAGATAATGTATTTCACTGCATAATCATCACCACTGCATAATTGTTGCATCCAGTTTTTTTTTTCAGTCTAAAAATTGGTTTATAACCTTTCATCGCATAATCGTCATATGGCACAATTATGTTCGTCACACTGCTTAAAAGGTAAACAGAACAGCAATGGATTCACCAGTGGCATATGGATATGCTTTTGTCTCTCATGCATTGGGAGCTGTGAGCCTAGAATTTTCAGCACACATGCATTGTCAGTATGTTTCTGAAAGCCGTCTTGTATGGTTTGTTTAGAACACTGAAGTACTAGTGGTATTGTCATTCAAATCAAAGAAGAGCCGTAGGTGCAAGGGGAGTAAGCGGGCAGGTGAAGCTGCCATGAGTAAGTCACGTATCATGGTAAAACTTGTATCTTCCCACGCTAGGTAAACTGGACAGTACATTAAGGTGTGAAGCATTTCTTTCTAATTATAGGTTTAATCTTGCACAAAGACAGTTTAGTAATAAATGATTTTTAAGTAACACCAGTACAATTTTTTAAAGCTTCACATAATGGTCGCACCCCACTTTTTTTGCAAAAAAAAATGGCATAAAATTTGCAATGATTTTGCAGTGAAATATGGTATGAATATCCTATATGAATCTTTGCAAGTCATTTCAGATTTTCTTCTCAGAATATTTTCTAGTATGGAAATGCTTTCAGATACCCCAAGTCGGTTTCATCATTTTACAGGGGGAGAAAATTTTTTTCCCTTTTTGAATCATGTTTATTTCAGCCACCAAAACTTAAAAATAATCATATGAATATATATATAATTCTTTAGAAGTATTAAAAAATCTCAATAGTGTTTTCTTATAAATGAATTTCAGGTTATTCTGTTTATTGGGTTATTTTAAAACAAGGGAAAGAAAAAAATTAAATGTACTTTGGTGGCTAATTTATTCACAGATAGCATGACCTGTAATTGTCCAAATTCTGCAGTGGCATTTCCTTTGAGAAAACTCTAAACAATTATCCAGCTTGACAGGACCTCTTCTATATGTTAAGGTGGCAAAAGTGATTTTGTTGTAAGCACAAGATTAATAGGAATGAATAACTCTTTACATAGATTATAGATTCATCCTAATGAATCCAGTATCCACTGTATTCCAGGCACTATACTAAGTTCTGTGGATACAAAGAAAAAAAAAAAGGCCATCAAAGAGTTTTTGTTCAATTGGGTAGCTGTAACATACACACAAAAGTAAGGAGGTCAGAAAAAATTGAAAAGGATGAATATGCTAACAATTGGGGGGATCAAGGAAAGCTGGATGGAAGAGGTGGCACCTGAGTTCTGT